GCACTTTTTTGCATCTGGGTCATTCCAGCGTACGGTTGCAGCGAGAGCTGGGATCTCCCTATCTCGTTTTTTCAGAAGTGCTGTCCGACGGGGTCGGTGTTCTCCTCCTGCGCCTGTGGAGCAACGTGCCAATGCTGCGGGTATGCGTACGTGCAGCACACATATTCAGCCACATACCACCTTAGGGAATAAAGGTTGCCAAATTTTTATATATATATATAGATATATAATTATTTTTTTTTGTTGTTCGGGGTCACTGTAAGATTTAAATTTCTTAATGCACTAGTTTGTACAAGCTACTTTGCCGCAAACCACAAAACGCGCAAAACCATCATTTAAATAGGGCGTCTCCAACAGTTTTGCACCTGCCACCAGTTACGCAATCACTCTTGTTAAATCACCCGCAAACCATGTTTTAGCCCCTTGCGCAAAATTCCAGTTTGCGAGCGCAAATTACTGCACGCAAAATTGGTTCTTGATAAATCCGGCCCATAGTGTAGAGTAGAGGTAGAATTGACCAATCAGAGGCCTCCTTTCTCTCCTCCCTGCGATGCTACCTGCAGCACTCTCTACGGTCATTGAAGTGTCTGAAGGGGGATGCATATCTGCGTTAACTGCAACAAACATGCAGATGACGTGGTTTCTGAGCAGAATGACACAAAGAAGCAATTTTCTTTTAACGCCAGTATTTTATTTTATATTTATACTTCCATATTTTTTTGAACTCATCTGGTTTCTTAAGAAGACCGGTAGACGTGTCCACTCCGTCACCTACTGTCCACCTCTTCAAATCAGTAGCTACACTCTAACCAGATGTCCAATCAGAGACATGCACAGCTGATCTGAGGGGTAATCAGAGAGTAGAGAAACATAGTAAAACTTTGGATATTTTAACTTTTGTAGACAAAACAATTCAACAAACCTAATTTTAAATACATCTATTTACTACTGAAGCAGCAATAAACTTCTTTAAACAAATGAAAAACATGACAATTATAATGTTCATCTTATTTCTTTTGTCCTCATTGAATACGATTTACTCTTAACAACAGCATCTGTTCATTTAAGTCAGTATGTAGAAGCTCTTCAGAGTTTGAGGATGTTTCAATGCATTACATTAAGAAGGCAAGATTTTCTTTTACTTATTTTCTTTTTACAGGTTAATAAAAAAAATGTCTGCTACTTGATAAAAAAATGCTTTATTCATATTTGTGTTCTGTAACAAACATACAGTCTGTCTACAGTCAAGCATTTACTTTGTAAGAAGTAAAATTTAGATATGCCTGTTCTGTTAGTAGGCTACATCTTTGTCTCCTGATTAAAAAGATCCTCGTAGTGATTATTTTTCTATGTGCAGTGAGACCATCATGTTTCTGCATGAGATCTTCCACCAAGGGCTGAAGGCTCGGATCGCCAACTGGCCCACACTGGTTCTAGGTGAGTGTGGCAGACCTTGCAGGTATGTTCCTAAATTAGCGGTCATAATCAGACTGTAATTTGCAAAAAATAAAACATCACGACAACACAAAATTTTAACAAATTTTTAACCTGCATCTTAGGAATCAAATTACTGGATTAGAAATCAGTCTTTATCAATACAAACATTATCTGCTATATCACCCCTTTAGCAACATGTAAATAATATCAGATTATTTTTGCAATTAGAGGCTTTTGTTTTAGTCTTAATTTTCTGTCATTTTCGATACGTGAAGGTCGGAGCATGAGCTGCATGTCTGTTTTCCTCCACAGCGGACCTGTTCGACATCCTGCTGCCCATGCTGAACATTTACCAGGAGTTTGTGAGGAACCACCAGTACAGCCTGCAGGTGCTGGCAAACTGCAAGCAGAACCGAGACTTTGACAAGCTGCTGAAACAGTACGAATCCAACGCTGGATGTGAGGGACGCATGCTGGAAACCTTTCTCACGTATCCCATGTTCCAGGTACCAAACATAAAACCTGTAGCAACTAAAGACACTGTGATGCCTAGAATGGGGGGTTTTGATTTGCACATTGTTAAAAATATTATAATGCTTGTAGGTGTAGATAAACTGTTCAGCTGGTATTTTTTTATTTTCTTTCTTACACATATTCACAATGATTTTAAAATGCATTTTA